CCTGGCGGGGGTGGGGGGGGGCGGTTGGCCGGCAGGCCCAGCTCTTGATCAGGGTGGGAGTGTCCAATCAGGAGCAGGCCAGCCAACCTCACGGCCCCACCCCCTGATCTGGCCGGTTCATTGGCCACAGTGGGTGTCATAGCAACTGGTTGTTAGGTTGTTATGGCCGTTACAGTAGCTGCCTTTTTATGTATATAGATTTCCTTAGAATATATTCTTAGAATTGTTAGGATAAAGGCATGCACACTTAGGAATTTTAAATTAGATTACCAAACTGTTCATTAAAAAAGTTGAACCAACTGTATTCCCAGGTCAGTTTTCTTTTACTATACTGACACTGAATATTATAATTTAGTTAATTTTTGCCAGTCTGATACACTAAAAGTGGTATTTTTGCTTCTCGCATTTTTGCAATTTTTCTGTGACTTTTTTGACTGACTTTGCATTACTGTAACTTATGTTACCTTCTGTCAATTTATATTTGTGGAATCTGATTTCTTTTGGACCAAAATAGATCACTTTTCAAACTTTTGAAATTGCTAATTCAGGAATAACCTCCCAAACAAAAACACAGTTACCTGCATACTTTCCAACAAAAGAGCTAAATGGCGGTAAATATTTTTTTAAACAGAACTCTGTTTTTACTAGAATAAAACCCTTCACATTCTTCTTTCGCAAGTAATCCATTATAAGTAGGACTTAGTTGGGGGAAACATTTCTTTTTGCCTCGAATCTTAAATAAAGGTGTCCTTAACTCCCAGTGTCCGACCTAAAAAGTACATATCAAATCTAAAGATTTTTAAGATCTTAGGATCTAATAAAGGTAAACATTTTTCCATATCAGGATGTAAAACAGACAATGAGTGCAGTGCTACTGTGGCTTTTTTATTTATGGATACTAACTGGAACTTTCTTTGTTCTCTTTTGGAAATGAGATACAGTTTGAATGTATTTGTAACTTGGAGTCCCACATTAGTCATCCTTACCTTCTAAAGCATATTTCAAAGTTACAGAGGCACACAGGTTTTTCCAGGCAGCTCCTGAAGTTATGTTTTATAATATTAGTCACATTTTAAATTTTCTCTCAAGTCTGCAACCCAACACCATTCACACTGTTTTCAGCAATGAATAAAGAAATAAAATGTTATGTTAGTGTTTATTTAATACAAAAATAGATTATAGAATCTCAGCATGTATTTTTATCAAAAACCTTTTTGTGATCACTGCCAATTAAGGAGATACTTACAGCATCCTGCTTTCAGTAACCAAAGATGCATTCTGAGATCTAGAAAGCTTGATGTCGCAGAAGTACAGCCACAATACCATATTGATCACATCCTTTTGTGTATAAAACTTATATCCCCAGGGTTAGTAATTTTAAGTTTCTGCCCCCAAATCATTAATTTTGTATTTGTTCATTTCAAAATATTTGTAACCTGGCTGGCATGGCTCAGTGGCTGAGTGTCAACCTATGAACCAGGTGGTCACGGCTCACAGTCCCCAGTGTGGGGTGTGCAGGAAGCAGCCGATCAATAATTCTCTATCATCATTGATGTTTTTCTCTCTCCCTCTCCCTTCCTCTCTGAAATCCATAAAAAATATTTTTTAAAAATATGTGTAAACCTGGTTCTTGTTTTTTATCCCTAATGAACACCATAGACTTTATGTAAAATATGTAGTTAAACTTAGGGATACATTTTTAATCGAAGTACAGTGTACATATTTTTTAATTCTTCCTGCCTTCTCTAATGTATTTACTACATAAAACAAAATAATGAGTAAAAATTTAGAAAATAGAGTTTAGATAAAGTGTCTGAGTAGATGGTAAAGAAGCCAGTTCCTTCAGCAACAATCTTTTTATCATTTCAGTGAAATATCCCAAGTTTTATTACCTTTTGTAGGGAAATCTTGGTGTATTTAGTATCTCAATTGTAGTCTTAAATATGGAAACACTGGACTAGATGGTCTCTTCATGCTCCTTTTATCCTTAGAGTTGAATAAATTTATGCTTTAAGACTTCATCTCTGTTAGGAAGCGCGTTATGGTAAAGGAAAGAATCCCCCCCCCCCCCCCCCCCCCGAAAATGCTTATTTTGGTCACTTGATGCACCTTAGGCCCAGTGTACAGTATGTTATTTGATTGAAGCATCTTTCCATATTTCTCCCTCCTGTCATTAACCTAGATATTATATCTAGAATGTAGACTAAACTCTTCATACCTACTAACTTTTGTGCATTTGGTTGCTCAGCTCTCTTAAGAGCATCATTTCAGAACTGAAGTAAAGTGAGTATCATTGTTTTTTAGAGATTATGTCATAGCTATTAATTGGAGGCAGATTCTTATAGCTTTGCTTTTTTCTTTTCAAGGTTGAAGAGATGGTGCAGAACCACATGACTTATTCATTACAGGATGTAGGTGGAGATGCCAATTGGCAGTTGGTTGTAGAAGAAGGAGAAATGAAGGTAATTCTCAGTGAAAAGTTATAGGTTGCTAATTGCACCTCTATTCCAGTCATATTGTCGTCATTGATATGAATAAGGATAACATTTAAAAATTACTTTTAAACACATTACTACATATGATCAAAGAAGCACCAGATATTAATAAATAAAATGTCCTTTTGCTTTCCTGGTTTAGCTTTTATATAATTTCTTTATGATCAAATCTATGCACAAACCATTCTGTTTTGCCTAAGCCATGGAGAAATAAAATTTTGTGGTTTAAATATGAACAGGCCACAATTAACTGATGGCTCTCTATTTGGATATTTCTCTCTTTTAAAAAATATTTTTTAATTTATTGATTTTTTAGAGAGAGAGAGAATAAGGGGGGGAGAGAGAGAGAAACATCAATGTGTTGTTCCACTTATTGGTTGATTCTTGTATGTGCACTGACCAGGAATCGAACCAGGGATCTGGGGCCCCTTGGTACACGGGACAACGCTCAGCCAACTGAGCCACACTGGCCAGGGCCATCTATTTTTTTTTAGATTCCACGTATAAGTGAAATCATACGGTATTTGTCTTTTTCTGTCTGACTGATTTCACTGTTGAAAGCTAATTTGTTGTTCAGGAGTTTTATATAGACTATGTTGACCAGAATTATTCTAGCAAATGGGGTGCAATATTAAGTGTTGGAATTTCCTCTCCTCCTGAATAGGGAACAAATCCTCCTATATAATAAAGAGGTAATATGCAAATTGACCATCACGCCCTCCCACAAGATGGCCGGCAGGGGAGGACAATTGTGGGTGATCAGGCCAGCAGGAGAGGGCAGTTGTGGGGGACCAGGCCTGCAGGGGAGGGAAGTTAGGGGCGACTAGGCTGGCAGGGGACAGCAGTTGTGGGAGATCAGGCCAACAGGGGAGGGCAGTTGGGGGGGACCAAGCCAAAAGGGGAGGGCAGTTGGGGGCGACCAGACTGACAGGGGAGGGCAGTTGGGGCGACCAGGCCAACAGGGGAGGGCAGTTAGGGGTGACCGGGCCTGCAGGGGAGGGAGGGCAGTTGGGGGTGACCAGGCTGGCAGGGAGGGCAGTTAGGGGTGACCGGGCCTGCAGGGAGGGAGGGCAGTTGGGAGCAACCAGGCCAGCAGGGGAGGGGAGTTGGGGGCAACTGGGCCGGCAGGGGAGCAGTTAGGCGTCAATCAGGCTGGCAGGGGAGTGGTTAGGCGGTGATCAGGCAGGCAGGCAGAAGTGGTTAGAGGCAATCAGGCAGGTAGGTAGGCGAGCGGTTGGGAGCCAGCAGTCCTGGATTGTGGAAGGGATGTCCGACGGCCAGTTTACCGGCAGTCGGACATTCCCTGAGGGGTCCCAGATTGGAGAGGGTGCAGGCTGGGCTGAGGGACCCCCCCCCTCCCCAGTGCATGAGTTTCGTGTACCGGGCCTCTAGTAAGAAATAAGGTAGAAGAGACAGGCAAATGAGATACCAAAATGCTATAATTCTGATGATCTGATTGGATTACAACATGGAGACCAACTGTCACAATGTCTTGCTAATATGTTACCTCTAAACATGTTTCTGAGATACCTGTATAATCAGAGGCCTTTCCCACAAGAGCAAGCCATAAAAGCAGACCAGGATGCATGCTCTCTGCAGAAGGGGTTGAGCCACATCTGCTTAGTTCTCCCTCTGTACTCACTATGCAGATAAGTCATTGTTTCTCCCTTAGGGAAGTTCCAGGAAGCGAAGGGACTAAGTAGAAAATAAGTGCTCCTACAACCCACAACATTAGAAAGAAATTAGGGCTGGATTATAATATAACCCACTAAAGAGAATAGTCTACCCTTTGTAGCATTAGGTAAGCCACTATGCAAAGTAGCATTTTCAGAAGAGTAAGCTGATAGGGAAGCAGCAAGAGACCAAGAAAACCACTTGAGAAAGTCAGGTACAAGATGTTGAAAGTCTACCTAAAAGAGTAACCATAGTAGAAAAGTCAAGTTGTTTTTTATAGAAGATTGGTAATAATCTTAATAGCCTACGTGAAGTGTGAGAGAAAGAACCAAAAGTCTACACTACAGAGTTACATTTCAGATAACTCGGAAAATAGCAGACCCAATAGCAAATAAGTAAGTGTGTAGGGAATGGAGTTTGGGGAGAGAGATTGTAAAAGAGAAACTTCATGTGAAATAACTAGTAGTATCTGGCTCCATGGGCACTCCATAAATTGAGAGCTGATTCTTCCTTTGGTAACATTGTTTAATCACTTGTCAAAAGAACTTATTACAGGCCCTGGCCAGGTGGCTCAGTTGGTTGGGGCGCATATGGGAAGCAACCGATCCATGTCTCTTCTCTCTTTCTCTCTCTCTCTCCCTCTCTTTCATCATGTCCTTAGGTAAGGATTTAAAAAAGAACTTATTACAGAGTTCTCTAAAGTAGCAAGCCCACAATAATTTTGAAATAACTAGTTTTAATCAGCACTCCAGTACACAACCTTATTATTTAAAGCAAGAGAGCATAGATCTTTATTACATTTTAGTTTTCAATCATTGATTCAGCAAATAGTTGCTTTACTGGGTTTCAGATACTATGCTAGATGCTGGGGATATATCAGTGAACACAGCCACCTTAAATCAGTATCCTTAAAGAGATTATGTTTTAACCAGGTTTATTTGTCCTTCTTTGCCATGTTGAACAGTCTTTGAGAATGTTCAGTAAATAATGCCTGATTTAAATTGATACATTCATTTTTTAATAACTCACAGTAATTAGTCATTCATCATATATGCATATTTTTTCATAGTTGAAATTTACCTTGGATTTGTAGTTTTAAATATTTTAATGTGTTAATAATATAAAATTTTAAACTTAATTTTAACAGAATGTTTATGTTCCATAAAGAGATTTTCGTAAATCCTAAAAAGCTGTTAAATTTGCAAACATGCTTTCAAATGTTTACTTTAGGATTTTTAAACAGATTTTTAATTATGTCCTGTATAGGTATATAGGAGAGAAGTAGAAGAAAATGGGATTGTTCTGGATCCTTTAAAAGCTACCCATGCAGTTAAAGGAGTTACAGGACACGAGGTCTGCAATTACTTCTGGAATGTTGACGTTCGCAATGATTGGGAAAGTAAGCTGCTATTATTAATGTATTTTAATATAATTATTATTTAGAATTTAATATCAAATCCAATCTGATTTTCTTCATATGATCTTTAGTTTGCAAAGTCAATGTAGAAAATATCTGGAGAATCATATAGGGGACTGATAATACTTTATATTTAAATAAAGTTTTTCACACTATAAAATGCTTTGCAGTATTTTTTAGCATTTGATTTAATACCTCAACAATTTTGCATAGATAGGTAATGAAGTAAAATTCAGATAGGTCAAGTGACTTGTCAAAGGCCACAGACCTAGTAGGTGTAAAAGCCAGGACTAAAACTAAGGTTTCTGTTTTATCTACTTTTCTCCTAGATTGTTTTGTTTCCCTGGTAAATCCTACATGAATCCTGCTGTGGTTTGTTTAGTTACTTTGGCAGGGGGTGTTTCCCTTAGACACCAGATTGCATAAATAGATACTTTTGGACATCATAAGACGTATATCAATGACAGTTTGATAATCTTCCCAATAAATACAGTTACCTAAACCTAGATAGAGCAGTTTATTCAGCTTCAGTAAATTAGGGATTATAGGGAGGGGTCATAGTGTTAGGGAATAATTTGTGCCTGAGTAATGCAGTGTTGATATAGAATCGCCTTCTTGCTGTGGAAGCTAAATGTTGGATAAAGGAAAATAAGATTTCCTGGTGATCAGCTCCCACAGCCACCATCTATAGCCCTAATACTAGGTATTAACTACCTTTCATTTGAACTTAGCCCAAGTGGGGCAGAATCCTGTTCATTCTACTATAATGTTCATTTGTAATTGACTCTCAGTATAAGTGAATTAATCACCTTCTAGGAAAAAGCAGTGTCTTTTTGGCTACTAATATTTTCCCTTCATTTCAGCAACTATAGAAAACTTTCATGTGGTGGAAACATTAGCTGATAATGCAATCATCATTTATCAAACACACAAGGTAAATATCTCTTCATCCCTAAAGGATTTCACTATAATTCAAACAGACATATAAATTGTCTAAAATAAAATTTGACAGGAAATTAAATGCCAGAAAAGATCTAAAGGCTTTATTAATAATTCAGGAATGCAAATATTTTTCTAGCAGCTAGTCTATAGGAGATTGATAGTTATCGAATATGAAAGTGAATCATAGTTTCCTATGACATCAATATAATAAGAAGTGGAAAAGTATGTTATTTGCCTGTGTTAAGACTAATAGATATGAAAATGATCTTAAGTGGATTATCTAAAAACAATGAAAAGTTGCTGAGCATAACTACTGAGAAGTTGGTCATACACCAGAGCACACCGAAGCATTGTCATTTAAATTGGTTCCCTTTTCATTTCTTCCTTTGCTAATCTACATTTAACGTTTTAGAATAATATTCATCTTACTTTATTCTACTCTCTTCCCCTTCTGAAAATTGCCAAATAGTATTTCAAATAAAGAATAATAAATTAAACTTGGAAGAGATCCACAAAAAGTAATATTATGTTATATAGGAAATATAATGATTCAATAAGTACTTCATTTTTTTTTCAAGTGACTTTTATTTTTTTAATGTATCTTTATTGATTTCAGAGAGTAAGAGAAGGAAAGAGAGATAAAAACATCAATGATGAGAGAGAATCATTGATTGGCTGCCTCCTGCACATCCCCTACTGGGGATCAAGCCTGCAACCCAGGCATGTGCCCTTGACCAGAATCCATCCTGGGATTGATCTTCAGTCTGCAGGCTGACGCTCTATCCACTGAACCAGCTAGGGTTCAAGTGACTTTTTAATTGAGCTGAATATGTGAAAATATTTGAGATTTGCTCTGTATTTCTTAAACTCAGTCTTTCACCTGAGGCATTTTATATATAACTAGAGGCCCAGTGCACGAAATTCATGCACTGGGGGCAGGGTTCCTCAGCTCCGCCTGCGCCCTCTTGCAGTCCGGGACCCCTCGGGGGATGTAACAGTGTGCCAAGCGGCAGGCGGCCAGGGAGGAGCCCAAATTGGGGCCGGGCGCTGCTCACGCTCATCCTGGTCTGCTGCGCCAGCTGCCACGGAGTTGGGAGAGGCTCCCGTTGTGGCAGCTGCGCTCCCCAGCCGTGAGCCCAGCTTCTGGCTGAGTGGCGCTCCCCCTGTGGGAGCACACTGACCACCAGGGAGTAACTCCTATGTTGAGCGTCTGCTCCCTGGTGGTCAGTGTGCATCATAGCAACTGGTTGTTCCACTGTAACAGTCACTTAGGCTTTTATATAGGCTAGAGGCCCAGTGCATGAATTCATGCACCAGTGGGGTCCTTCCACCTGGCCTGCGGGATTGGGCCGAAACTGGCTCTCCAACATCCCCCAAGAGGGTCCTGGATTGCGAGAGGGCTCAGGCCAGACCAAGGGACCCCACTGGTGCACGATCGGAGCTGGCAAGGGACGTGGGAGGTTGTCCAGCCGGGGAGGGACCACGGGAGGGCTCCAGGGCATGTCTGGCCTGTCTTGCTCATTCCTGATCAGCCAGACCCCAGCAGGAAGCTAACCTACCAGTTGGAGCATCTGCCCCCTGGTGGTCAGTGCACGTCATAGCAAGCGGTTCAGTGGCCCTAGCATGTCATTAGCATATTATGCTTTGATTGGTTGAACGGTCAACCAGACACTTAGCATATTAGGCTTTTATTATATAGGATGACTATAAGCTAGGCTTCATTTTACATGGTAGCTGCTCAAGAAATGTGTAAAAATGAAGATTCTATTTCAACATACAGATTTGTGCAGGGTTTAAGTGTAATCTGAAATTTAGTAGATGTTAAAATATCAATTAATTGCTCTATAATTTAGAATAAAGATAAATGGCCAATAATTTAGAATCAGAAGAATCTTATTATTTGATGATAATTGATCCAGGAAAACAATCTGCCAATATTTCACTTGGTAAATAATAGATGGAAGGGAGGATTATATAGGTTGTATTAGGTTTATTTCTTGAAAAATAAAACTAAAAATTATTAAAATAATGTATCATACATAACAAAATGTAAGTTACAATTATAATTATTTGAATTAAAAAATCCTGGCATATTTCTTTTTCAACAAAATCCAATAACGCTATGTACATCTTTTTTCTTTAGATTTGGCTTCTTTTATAATATGGTCTTAAAGAGGACTACTCATCTTCTAATATTTAAGTCATCTCATTCTTTAAATTTCTCTCATCCTCCTTTTGGATTTGCATTTATTAGAAGCTAACCTACCGGTTGGAGCATCTGCCCCCTGGTGGTCAGTGTGCATCATAGCAACCGGTATAGTGTGCTATGATGCACACTGACATTAATTAATAATAATTAATTTATTATTCTTTATTTGAAATACTATTTGGCAATTTTCAGAAGGGGAAGAGAGTAGAATAAAGTAAGATGAATATTATTCTAAAACTTTAAATGTATTTAAATATCAAATATCATTCTAACATGATTAAACTTTCATTTATTACTAGTTTCACACACATTTCTCCAACACTACTTTTGTTGACTGCATGAAATTTTGTATCTTTAAAATATAAACCATTTCACTTTGCAAATGATTTGTGTTGTGTTGACACTAAGTTGTTGGCTACTTTTTATAGTCAACAATCAGAAAAGACAAGGCATATTTTCTTTCATTTAAAAGTACAAAAGCCCCAGTTTTCTGAGACCTAGGGACCATATCATTCCAACAGTATATGTTTCTCCTTGTATACCATAAAACTCAAAGATTCTGTCTACCTGATTTGGAATTCTTCAAGTGTGATTATAATATCAAAAGAGTAGTCTTCTTTCCCTAAAATCTTTGCTTAAAGTCTCTGAACAATTTAAGCTGAGGTTTAATACTATAGTTAAAAGAAGGATATTACCAGGGTTTGAGGAAGGGGGTGTAATGCTGTGTCATTTCTTAGTAGGTACAGAGTTTCTATTTGGGATGATAACAATTTTTTGAAAATGTGGTAATGCTTACATAACATTCTGAATGTATTAATGGCAATGAATTGTATACTTAAAAATGGTTTAAATAGCAAATTACTACAATTTATAAAAAAATAAAAATAGCAGAACACTATTCCTTTGCTATAGTTCTGCAAAGCCATTAACTCACTGTCCATAATTAATCCTTTGGTGGGTGTTCTCAGATGCTTTTCATTTAAAATTTGACAGATTTTTACCTTCAACTAAGATATTTATTGCTTTTACATTTGTTTCTCTGTTAGTTACATATTACAAATGAATAAAGAATTGTTCAAATTTTCAAATGATTTTTACTTCTTCCACAGAGAGTGTGGCCTGCTTCTCAGCGAGATGTATTATATCTTTCTGCCATTCGAAAGATACCAGCCTTGACTGAAAATGACCCTGAAACTTGGATAGTTTGTAATTTTTCTGTGGATCACGATAGTGCTCCTGTAAGTGCATTGTATAAATGTGTACAATTGTATAATATAAAGCTAACTATACATGCAGTACAAAAATGATAAACACATGCCAGACACACACAGATACTAGAGTTGATAATTCTTAGATTTTGTGTTATTTTGGCTTCTTAGAATAATATAGCCTGTGTATTATCTGAAGGACAGTAGTCATGGCTGTGAACATTTCAGCAGGTCTCTTTTCCTTTGTTCCTGAGATGAGGTGAGACAGCACTGATAGGTAGTATATGCAGACTACTACTCACAGTTGCCTCTTAAGTCATGATCAACTACTGGCAAAACCTCTGGTTGCTACCTCGATTTAGCTCCATTTACTACGTAAAAGGAGGAGAAATCTTATCAGTTTGGCATGTGTTGTTTGATCCTTGTAAGATTTTGTTGAATATTTTGATGAGTTGAGGTTTCAGCCTACTTAGTATAGTATTATTAGACTAGTAGAGATTACAAAATACTGGGTATCTGCTATACTGCTGTTTCATTTTTATTTTTTGTTTTGGCAGCTGAACAATCGATGTGTTCGTGCCAAAATAAATATCGCTATGATTTGTCAAACCTTGGTTAGCCCACCAGAAGGAAACCAGAAGATTAGCAGGGACAACATTTTATGCAAGATTACATATGTAGCAAATGGTATGTATTTCGTTGTTTGTTTTTGCTATTTGGTAATGTGGATGTTCTTAGTGTGATCTACATGATAACTAACCATTTGGACAAATACCATTACAAATGCCTTTTGAGTTTTTATCCTTTAGATTAGTAATTTTTAATTTGGAAAGATGTATATCAAACTTTCAGGAAATATACATACCTGCCTTCCACCCCAGAACTACTATATCAGAATTTTTGAAGCTTGGACTAGATAGGTAAATTTTAAAACTTTAGGCCAACTGGCATGGCTCAGTAGTTGAGTATCAACCTATGAACCAGGAGATCATGGTTCCATTCCTGGTCAGGGTACATGGCCTGGGTACAGGCTCGATCTCCAGTCGGGGGCATGCAAGAGGCAGCTGATGTTTCTATCTCTCCCTCTCCCTTCCGCACTGAAATCAATAAAAATATATTTTTTTAAAAACTTTATATTAAGATCACTATCACATATCCTTGGTTTTAAGAACCATTTTATTAAGTATTTACCTAAAAGAATATACGTAGAATTAGAAATGTAAGCAACAGTGGGAAAGGAAATTAGCAGTTCTTTTTCTTTTTCTTTTTCTTTTTTCTTTTAGCGGTTCTTTTTCTTATTGTCAGGCTTGCTCATTTTTTTCATCATTGATTGGTCCCTAATCCTTATTAGTTGCTACTTACGTGTTTGTTTTATATTGACTTGCTGCTGGACAGCCTTGTTGCTTTGGTTCCTTATTACTAAACCCATTTCCTACTTGTAGTAGTTATTGAAATCCAAATCCTCATACCTTCTTTATACAGGACCATAACTGCTAGTGTTCTTTAAAGAGATAGTTATGCCTGAGTAAGTTATTATCCCATACTAGAGGCCTGGTGCACAAAATTCGTGCACTCGGGGGGAGAGGAGGGTCCCTAAGCCCAAATTGCGAGAGGGCGCAGGCCAGGCCTAAGGACCCCACTGGTGCACGATCTGGGCCAGGGAGGGATGCAGGAGGTTGGCCAGTGGGGGAGGTACCGCGGGAGGACTCCAGGCATGTTTGGCCTGTCTCGCTCAGTCCCGATCAGCCAGACCCCAGCAGCAAGCTAACCCACCAGTCAGAACATCTGTCCCCTGGTGGTCAGTGCACGTCATAGCGACTGGTCGACTGTCTGCCCCCTCGTGGTCAGTGCACGAGCAGTTGAGCGGCCTTAGCATATCATTAGCATATTACACTTTGATTGGTTGAATGGAAGACTATACAACTGGACACTTAGCATATTAGCCTTTTATTATATAGGATAATAAAAGGCTAATATGCAAATCGACGGAACAGCGGAACGACCGATTGCTATGTCACTCACTGACCACCAGGGGGCAGACGCTCAACGCAGGAGCTGCCCCCCTGGTGGTCAGTGCGCTCCCACAGGGGGAGCGCTGCTCAGCCAGAAGCCGGACTGACGGCTGGCAAGCGCAGCGGTAGTGGTGGGAACCTCCACAGCAGGCAGACATCCCCTGAGGGCTCCCAGACTGCGAGAGGGTTCAGGCTGGGCTGAGGGACCCCTCTCCCCTTGAGTGCACGAATTTTTGTGCACTGGGCCCTCTAGTCTATATATATATATAATAGCCCAGCCGTGGGCAAACTACGGCCCGTGGGCCGGATCTGGCCCGTTTGAAATGAATAAAACTAAAAAAAAAAAAAGACCATACCCTTTTATGTAATGATGTTTACTTTGAATTTATATTAGTTCACACAAACACTCCATCCATGCTTTTGTTCCGGCCCTCCGGTCCAGTTTAAGAACCCATTGTGGTCCTCGAGTCAAAAAGTTTGCCCACCCCTGTAATAGCCTAATATGCAAAGTGTCCCTTCAGGAGTTCAACTGACCGGGAGTCCCATCGCCAGCTATGACATGCGCTGACCACCAGGGGGCGGCACAGAATGAAGGAAGGGCCTCAGCTGGCAGCCAGCAGCCACTAGGGACCCTACCCGTGCATGAATTTCGTGCACTGGGCCTCTAGTTTGATTATAGTATAGTTTAATGAAAAGATCTGCCTCAACCTAAAGTGTAGCTGTACTAATATTTAAATATATTTTAGGGAAGTAAGAACAATTTAGAAAGGTAATAAATGCTTTCTTATTTGCTCTCTGTTCTTGTTTGGTAGTTAATATGAAGGATTAATGGTCAAGACTTTTAAGAGATGCCAATTGTTCCAACATCATGAAATTTTTTAAAGCAAAGGAACAAAATGAGTGCTTCATGTGTATTTGGAGAATTGTATCTTAACATTTTAATTTTTCTTTAACTCATAGTGAACCCTGGAGGATGGGCACCAGCCTCAGTGTTAAGGGCAGTGGCAAAACGAGAGTATCCAAAGTTTCTAAAACGTTTTACTTCTTACGTCCAGGAGAAAACAGCAGGAAAACCTATTTTGTTCTAGTATTAACAGGTACTGGAAGATAGATGTTATCCTTTTAAATTTTGACTAACATGACTCTGTAGACCAGGAGTGGGGAACATTTTTTCTGCCAAGGCCCATTTGGATATTAAAACATCATTTGCAGGCCAAACAAAATTATCAGCCTAAAAATTAGCCTGCTATATTTGGTCAAACATTTAATTTACTCACCCCTAATGCCTTGGCAGGACCAGACCAAATGATTTTGTGGGCCTTATACGACCCACAGGCCAGACATTCCCCACCCCTGCTGCAGATACTAAAATTTAGTTAACTGTTGAAAGTAGTTTCTGTGTTTTATGATGTTCCCAGATAAAGAGTTGTTGTTTTTATAGCCTTAAAACTTACATTTTTATCTTTCTATGTTAAATAATACCTGCTTATTTAAAGAAATTTCAACATTATAGAACTGCAGAATTTCAGAAGTACAAATTCCCTATATCTTTCCCTTTGCAGAAATTACTGTTAGGTTTGTGATATATTCTTCCAGATTTTTACATGTATGTACTTACATATATGTATTTTTAATTGTTTAAAAAATACATTTATATTATTTTGCAGCTTGTTTTTCTACTTAATAATAAATTTTAACTATTATTCCATATAAAGATATGAGACATATACAACCATCTCACTGTTTTAAAATGTTATATAAATGTTGCACAATTTATTAACTAGTCTCTATGGTAACATCTGTTTTGGTTTCATATTTTTACTGTCAAATAATGCTGCATTGAACATCTTTGTGCAAGGAGCCAGAATCTTTAATTATCTGTAAATAAGTGATGTGTTAACATGGTTCAAAAGTCAAAAGTATGAAAAGATAGAGTAAAATTTATCCCCTATTCACTCAGTTTTGTCCTCCCTCCACACACAGAAAAGTGTATTAACTGATATTACTAGTTTCTTTGTATTTTTAATGCCTGAATAAGCAAATAAAATTATAATCTTCCCACAGATACTCTTTTGTTGTTGAAGAAAATGTAGCATACTATAAACACCGTTCTGCATCTTGTTTTTGCACTTTATTATCTTGAAGGTTTTTACAGTTCAATGGGGAGCCTCTTTTTTTAAGGCTATATAGTATCTCATTGTTTGAATGTACTCTTGCCATGTAGCTTTAATTGTATATCTCATATTATGAATGAGTTTGAGCGTCTTTTGGTCCATTGGAGAACATTTGTATAATTCTGTTTCTGTGAACTCTCAATATGTGTTAGCATTTAAATGTTTTTCTTTAAAATTTATTTTTAATCCTCACCCAAGGCTATGTTTTTTTTTTTGTTTTTTTTTTTATTTTAGAGAGGGAGGAAGGGAGAGGGAGAGCGACAGAGAGAAACATTAATCAGTTGCCTCTTATATGCATGCACCCTGGCCAGAAATTGAGACCACAACCTGAGTATGTGTTCTGACCAGGAATCAAACCCACAACCTTCTGATGCATTGAACGATGCTCCAACCACACTGCCCAGGGCAGCATTTAAATTTTTAATAGAAGCTTGGCTGGCATGGCTCAGTGGTTGAGCGTTGATCTATGAACTAAGAGGTCATGGTTTGATTCCCAGTCAGGGCACATGCCCGGATTGCAGGTCGATCCCCAAGTGTGGGGAGTGTAGGAGACAGCCAATTAATGATTCTCTCTCATCATTGATGTTTCTTTTTTTTTTTTTAATTAAATCTTTATTCAGATTATTACAGTTGTTTCTCTTTTTTCCCCCCCATAGCTCCCCTCCACCCAGTTCCCACC